TCCATGTTTGCATATATGTACATGATGAGGTATCTTTGAGATGGGACCCAAATCTAATCATGAAATTCATGTATGTTTCATATGCAATTTATACGCATATGCAACATTTTAAACCATTTCGTTCATCAAACAAAGTTTGTATACACTGAACCAGCAGCATGCAACAATGTCACAATCTCAATTGCCCATGAAGACAATTCTGAATTTGGGAGTAACTTGAATTTGGGGATTCAGAATAGGGGATGGTCAGTCTGTAGTGTAAGTTATTATTCCAAGCTGTGAAAAGAATTTAAGACAGCTTTTTCAAGGGCACAACTAAGTCTTCAATCCTATACTTACCTGGAAACTCTGGGAGTAAATCCTATTGAACTCAGTTGAACTATGTTTTGAGTGGATATGCATACACTAGCATTCTGAAAATATTGTATCACTTTAAAGCAGCGTTTCTCAACCTGGGGGGGCGGGAGTCATGAGGGGGGTGTTAGAGGAGTCACCAGAAACCATCAGAAAACACAGAATTTTCTGTTGGTCATGGGGTTCTGTGTCAGAAGTTTGGCCCAATTCTATCATTCATGGGGTTCAGAATGCTCTTTGATTGTAAGTGAACTAGAAATCCGTCAACTACAACAAATGTCAAGGTCTATTTTCCCCCCAAACTCCACCAGTCTTCATATTTGGGCATATTGAGTGTTTGTGCCAAGTATGGTCCAGATCCATCATGGTTTGAGTCCACAGTGCTCTCTGGATGAAGGTGAACTACAACTTCAAAACTCAAGTTCAATGCCCACCAAACCCTTCCAGTATTTTCTGTTGGTCATGGGAGTTCTGTGTGCCAAGTTTGGTTCAATTCCATTATTGGTGGAGTTCAGAATGCTCTTTGAGTGTAGGTGAACTATAAATTCCAGCAACTACAACTCCCAAATGACAAAATCAATCCCCCCTCCCCAACCCCACCTGTATTCAAATTTGGGTGTATTGGATATTTGTGCCAAATTTGGTCTAGTGAATGAAAATACATCCTGCACATTAGATATTTACATTACGATTTGTAACAGTAGCAAAATTATGGTTATGAATTAGCAACAAAAATAATGTTGTGGGTGGGGGTTTCCGCAACATGAGGAATTGTATTAAGTGGTCGTAGCATTAGGAAGGTTGAGAACCACTGCTTTAAAGAGTAGAGAACGAGAAATTAGTTTAACTTTTTTTCAGAATCACAACACACTTTTAGCTGAAACAAGGGATTTTGTCCTGTGGGATCTGTTTTGGTTTGACAACTTTATGCTCCATCAAATAGAGTAAAGAGGAAGAAAAAAACACACAAATATGAAAGAATTTCAAGGGCAGGAATTTGTTGTATCAGAAAGTCATCTACTTTGAAAACCCTATGAGAAGACAATCCAAAGAACTAGTGTGGAAAATGAGACCCTCCTGAAAACAAACATAAAAACAACTACAGTGTTTCCTCACTACTTCGCAGTTTGCTTTTAGCAGACTCGCTGTTTTGCGGGTTTTTGAAAATATTAATAAAAATATAAAATATTAAACATTTACGTATTAAATATTGGAGGTCAGGGAGGCCAGGGACCCCGGAAGTGCGGCAGCCTGAGGTGCAGCGGAGAAGGCCTGCCTCCCTGGCCTGCTGCTGCCTGCGTGATTCTGGAGGCTCTGCGGAGACCAGGGAGACAGGCAGGTACTCTTGGGGATGGGCCAGGAGGCAGGTAAGGAAGTGCAGTAAGAAAATAATATATAAAATATATAAAATAATGTATAAATATTAAAATTAATATGGCGTCCCTACTTTGTGGATTTTCACTTATTGTGGGTGGCCCTGGAACAGAACCCCCGCGATAAGTGAGGGAACACTGTAGAATTGTGCCTAAGAATGCAGTTGGGCCTAAACATCCTAAAGGCACTAGATCCCATCTAATCTTGGAAGCTAAGCAAGATCAGGTCTGGTTCATATTTAGATAGGAGACAAACAGTGAAAACTATAGAGCAAGATCATGATATCATTCAATTGAGCAGGAACGCAAGGAGCCCCCGGTGGCGCAGTGGGTTACAGGACTGAAGACCGACAGGTCGCAGGTTCGAATCCAGGGAGAGGCGGATGAGCTCCCTCTATCAGCTCCAGCTCCTCATGCGGGGACATGAGAGAAGCCTCCCACAAGGATGATAAAAGCATCAAATCATCCAGGCGTCCCCTAGGCAATGTCCTTGCAGACAGCCAATTCTCTCACACCAGAAGTGACTTGCTCCTGACACGACAAAATAAAATAAAATAAAAAGCAGGAACACATAGGCAGACGAGAAATATTTTAGAAAAAAAAATCTAGGTGTCCCAAGACAATGAGCCTGGCCTTGTGGTTGAGGGAAAAGCACTTGCCTCCTTCTCTCTGTCCCAGATAAAACCCACTTTGCCCCGCATGCACCCAAGTGAGAATTATCTCAAAACCTTCAAGCTGAAAGCAGGATTCGTTTATTCAGTTTTGAAATAAGAGCATGATTGTTGAGTTCAAATGTGCCACACTTTGCAGTGACTGCATCAGAAGCCGCAAGGGTCTATAGTGGCAAGGAAGGATTTGAGTCATAGCTTCATTTATAGCAGAATGAGACATGACACTTTAGATGCAGGTGGAGGATCAGATAGATCAGCTTTTCCAATGCTACCTCATACTGCCCTGCACTTGGCACATCCACAAGTTTCTGGCTGTACCTGATGGATTTACTAATAGTCTTCTGGCTGCACTTGCACAAAAAACCCTTTTGAGCTGTGCTGTAGATATGTTTGAGTTGTGCTAAGTTTAGCACATCTGCAAATAAGGTTCTAGTCAAGCCTAGTGCCCTAGCAAATAAGGTTCTAGTTCTGCCTCCTTCTGTTCTGCTGGTTATATAGTGATAAAGAATGTGTGCCTAGGTTAATTTAAAAGGTGAATTATTTCCACCGATACCCTGAAGTCATACTCCTGTTACATTTCATGTGAACCTCTGGCCTTGGGTCTTGAGATGTGCTATGGAAAATATTCCCGCAGAGTCTTGAGCCACCAGGTTTAAGGCTATAATCCATTGCTTGAGAACTTAAGTATGCCTACATTTAGTCATTCACTGTCATTTAGAAACAGCCCTCCAAAGTATTTTGCTAGCCAATTTCATGAACAAAGTTTGACAGAAGCAACAACAGGTCAAGCTTAGAAGGTGTAGGATTAGGTCCAGGACATATGGCCTATCTTATCTTCTGAAAGAACCTGTTTGTTTCCACAGGACCAGAGAGGTCTTCCCCTCAAATCTCACACTTCACAGGTATAGCTTCTGGGAACATGAAAGAGGACCTTCTTGGTAGATGGCCCTACAATGCAGAACTCAATCCTTTTGAAGGCCAGAATGCCCTCACCCTCTTTGCTGTTCTTTTGGTAACAGTCAACGATGTAAGCTATGTAAGTATTGTGCAACTTTTTTTAAAAAATTGAGTGCTTATTTTGAATACAGGGATATTAGATCATCCCCCTCCCTCCTGACTTTCCAAAAAAGGTAAAAACTTGGCTCTTTGAGCAAGTTTTGAGAATGCAGCAGAATAGATAACATGAAACTATGAATGATGAACATGGAAGGGCCAGATGATGTTACTGGAAAACGATTTTAACAAGATGACATTGGTGGTTACATGTTTTAATGGTTTTTTTATATATGTTTTTATATTGGTATGTTGACTGTTTTTAATCACACTTTTATGAATACATGGCATCAAATCATGCCAATATGTAACCTGCCTTGAGTCACCATGTGGTTGAGAAAGGCGGGCTATAAATGTCGGAAATAAAAAATAAATAAATACATTTAATAGTTTAATTTTGGTTTGTCGTTTTGTATATTTTTGTATATTTTATAATTTCGCCTACCAGCATTCAACAAAATATGTCCTTTCTAGAAATTGTCTAGGTCTTCCAGGTGATTTTATGGTATACTCCTGCCAGAAGTTAACATAGAGTCACATTGGGGAACTTAAGAAATTCATAGAGAGGATACCTCACTGGGAATTTTCTAGTTCCTTCTGGTCAAAATCATAGAGCCATTCATTTCAGTAGGCTTTGCTATTATCCACCATTTCTGTTTCCACAGAGAGTTCAAGACCATATTCCACGAATACGGGGATTGCACTGTAATAATAGTAAAAGTAGTAGAAATAACAGCACACAGGTTTCTCTTCCAACCATCTCTCTGTATCTGTCACCAAAGACAACTCTCTCATTCTAGCATTTTGTTTAAGGGTAAAGGTTTCCTCTGGCATTAAGTTTAGCACGTCCAACTCTGAGGGTTGGTGCTTATCTCATCTCTAAGCCAAAGAGCTGGCATTGTCCATAGACACTTCCAAGGTCATATGACCGGCATGACTGTAAGATGTGCCATTACCTTCCTGCAGAAGTGGTACCTATTGATCTACTCACATTTGCACATTTTCGAACTGCTAGGTTGGCAGAAGCTGGGGCTAACAATGCTCACCCCTCTCCCTGGATTCAAACCACCAACATTTCAGTCAGCAAGTTCAGCAGATCAGTGGCCTAACCCGCTGTGCCACTAGGAGCCCCAAAGGGTTTTATTTTAAATTCCCCTTGAATCAACGTTGATTTATAATGATCCTATGATGAAAGGCAGCCCTATAAGTTACCCAATTACCAACAGTCCTGCTCAAGCCTTGTAAATCCAGGATTGTTGTCTATCCACCTGTATAGTACTAGAGTGGCCAGATGAAAAGTAGAACTGGACACTTGTTGTTTTTAATGGCAGTTTATGAGGATATTTCAACAAGCAGAGCTTGTGTGACCAATGCTCCTTGCTGAAATCCCTTCTTTACACAACTACTTAAGGTACCTGGCCATCCTGGTTAGGATCACCTGTACAACTTGGGTTATCATACAAACAAGACACAACCTTCTCAACACGCTCAGAAGCCTGCAATGCATCGTATTCAATGACTCTTTTCATAGAGAATGAGGAGGTCCAGGTTACACTCTGAAAATATTTGTGCTTTAATGTTACAAATACCCCTATAGAGAGTACAACAATGTTCTTTGCCTCTACTGTAATCCAGCCAATAAAGTCAGGGATATCAAATGATTAGATCATTGAGAAAATACAACAAATAAACAAAACTAGAATCAAGCCCTAAATCTTGGCCGAGGATGGGGAAAAGAAAGAACACAAAATTGTAGGGAATTGCGGGATAGCATGGCTTCTCTGCAGAAGAGCTCAGAGATTGTATTTCTTTTGGACTACAACTCCAAGAATCCTGGACCAACTAGGCCCATTGCTGAGGGGGGCTGGGATTTGCAGTCCCAAAATAACTTGCTCTACCTTTCCTCTTTAGTCCTCAGGTCACTTCTATGCAGTAGATGCCTCTTGACAGCAACAGGCCTGACCTATCTGTTTAAGGAATGAGTTCACTTTGCAAGGATAATGTAGTCAAGTCCTCCAAAGAGCACACAGAAGGGAGTGCTTCCTTCTCATATCGTCTGCCATGGTTTCCCAATGGACTGGATGTGCTCCTTGGCTTTCATCCTCAATGCTGCTATGCTGGTGTTCCGAGGGTCGACTTCTTCCAAAGGGAATTTGTCCACAAAGTTGGTCCCGCATTGATATGGTGGCGGTGGCCCCATGGCTCCCAGGGGTTGCAAGGTGTGTCCCATGGGGGGAGAGTTTAGGAAAGGGGGAGGGGTGTAGCTGCTGGGGAGGCTTTGGGGTGACGCCACGAAGCCCGGCAATGTCTGGAGGGGGCTGCTGTTGGACATGGGTGGGTTCAGCCATGACTCCAAGGGCAAATTGCTGCCAATGGTCCCAATGGTTGAAGGTTGTGGGGAGCGGTTGAAAGAGAGGATGGGTGAATCCTGCAACTTCATAGATGTCACTTCCAACTTCTCCTGCCTCCTCCACTTGGCTCTCCGATTCTGGAACCATACCTGAAAGACATAGCACAGAGTTAATTTCATGTCAAAGAGTACAGTTTTCCATTATTTTATCAACAGCTTTGGAAAAGTTACTTTGCTGTATCATGATTTCCAGAATCCAAGCCAAGCTAACTCAGTGATTCTGGGTCCTATTTTCCAAAAAAAGTAACTTTTCCAAGCTCTGGTAATTAAATAGTCATTTTTATTCTCTATTTTAACATGCATATACTTGTGAAACATCTAGATGAACTTTATATAAAGCAATCACATGTGTCTTTATTCAGAAGTAAAGTCCATTGTCAAATGAAATGGGTTTTCCAAGTAAGCATGGTAAGGGATGATTTGAGAGAGAAAAAATTGAGAAAAATCAGCATAAAGGAGCCATGGTGGCACAATGGGTTAAACCCTTGTGCTGCTGAACTGCCAACCTGAAGCTTGGCAGTTCAAATCCATGAGATGGGGTGAGTTCCTGTTCCTGACAACCTAGTAGTTTTAAAACATGCAAATGTGAGTACATAAATAGGTACTGCTTCAGCAGGAAAAGGCGAAGAGATGCTCCAAGCAATCTTGCCGGCCACACAACCAGAAGGTGACAACACAGGCTCCTCAGCTTAAAAATGGAGAAAACACCTCCCCAGAGCCAGAGATGAGCACAGCCTCCAGAAGCCAGAAATGAAAGGAGAAGCCTCTGCCTTTGTTTGTGTTTGTGCGTCTCATTGTATATGATTGTAAAGACATTGACTGTTTGCCTATATATGTAAATTCTGTAATCTGATCTCAGTCCCCTAGGAGAGAAGGGCAGAATATAAATAGGGTATTATTATTATTATTATTATTATTATTATTATTATTAAATATTCATAAGTGAAAAGCACAACAAAAAGGATACATGTTGCATAGCTATCTGATGGATCCGCATATATATAATGCTTCTTTTTCTAAATTTTAGAAGACACCTTCTGTATTATTTTTCAGTGCATCCTTATCTGTGTCTTCTCAGTGCATAACACTGAGCCCAATGGGCTTATTCCCAAATAAGTGGATTTAGGATGACAGCCCTAACATGAAATTTACTATCTGCATTTTTTTTCCATAATGGATATTTTTTAAAAATAATTACCCAAAGTACCAGAAGAAAATAAAGAGTTGACTTACACCAGTATCACCACTCCACCCTGGGAATATATATGAGTAATTTGGGGAGTCATGTGCATAACCAGTAGGTTATGCTGGCAGATAGTGACCAGACCTTGGAAAAGTTACTTTTTGGGACTACTCTCCAGAATTCCCAAAACATCAACAAATGCAGCAATGCCACTTTTTTGGGTGAGGCCTACTAACAGATGATCAGAATAAACAAAACATCAACAATGGTAAAGACAAATGTAAAAAGTAACTAGTGCATATTCAGAAACGAATTACACTATATTTTGCAGCATTTAACTCCCGAAAAATATACAGTGGATTTCAGCACTTCTTTTAAATCAGTGGTTCTCAACCTGTGGGTCCCCAGGTGTTTTGGACTACAACTCCCAGAAATCCCAGGCAGTTTACCAGCTGTTAGGATTTCTGGGAGTTGAAGGCCAAAACATCTGGGGACCCACAGGTTGAGAGCCACTGTTTCAAATGAACACTTTCTATAGAATACTATAGACTGCCCATGCTGACTGAGGGATTTTGGGAACTGTAGTCCAAAAGTCAACATCTTTAAGATCAGTTAGAAGAGCACCCAAAACTGTTCCTCCATGAAAAGGACTGGAAATGATAGGAAATTCTCATAGCATCATTCCTTGTGTCCCTGTATTGCGTTTTAGTCTATTCCAGAGGCAACTGGTCAGTTCCATGGAGTGAAACCCCTCTAGTCTGAATGTTAAATGACATGTTTGAGGTGCCCTATGCCTAGAACAGGTCCAACTCCTTGAATATATTATCTACTTTAAAATTAAGGTAAAAACCCAGAATAGATTCACTACTTCACAACAAAGGAGCCATCCGTTGCTGGTCTCCTCCCTAGTCCAGCAAATTGCTTCATCCTCGTCTTCAGAGCCCCCATAATTCCTGTCACTTTCCCCTTGTATCCTAATACATTTCTCCTGTGATCTCCAGCTTTATCACTTTTCAAGGCCAGCATTGTCATTAGGCAGAGTCTGGTGACCTTCCCAGACAACAGATGCTGGAGGGCAAGAACAGCCATCCGTTGGCTGACCTCTTGTGCCCTTTGGCCATACCCTTCTGTTGGAGATGAAGCTGAGCCTTCCATATTAGCCCAAGCTGTTCTTATGAACTGCCTCGTTTTAGGAATCTAGCACCCTGTTTGGAAGAAAGTGCACTTTTCTATGGTGTTCTTCAAAGTAGCCACACAAACATTAACTAGCAGGAGTAATATGGAAGTTGTAATACTTTCCCCAGCTTTGCTTCCAACTCATTTGGGTAATGCCTGAACAGGACATTATCAAAGTAGGGGTCATTGTGCCTAAGCCACCGCTACAAAGATACATATTACAGCTGAGGCAACTTCTGGAACTTGTAAAAGGTCACTTAAACAAATAATGGTAGTGCTGGAAAAAATAAGGAACTCATCTCCACCAAACAATAGCTCCACAGATTTTTTTTTGCCTACAAGTCCACAGATCCATAACTATTGGCTATGATGGAAAGGCCTGATGAGGATGTAGGTTCAAAACACCTAGAAGGCCACAGCTGACCTCCAAGTGCCTGCTTTAGGGGAATAGCAGTTTTGAAAAACTCAATTGACATAAAGGTGCACTTGGAGTAGGGGTAGAAATGGCCAAGTAATCTGTGCGTCTCCCTGTTCAGTCTGCTGCCCAGGTATTAACCATGTGTGGGCAACTTCAACTTCAACTTGTTTTCTTTTATTATTGTTGTTTAACTTTAAGGCAAATTATTGGACTGGATAACCCCTTTGGGGAGAAAAAATGGGCTATAAATAAGTATAATAATAATAATCCTTCCAACAGAGGAAGCATTCAAGCAAGGAAAAACTTTTCCTATGAATGGCACACAAATTATGCCACATGTAAATCTATTCCAGTTTTTTTTTTCCCCCCACTTCAATAGCACAGGTTAGGGCAGAAGATAAATGTTTTCCTTTTGCTAATGGCTTGAATCTTATCGTTAGGTCCAACTAAAGTAGATCCTATGGTTTCTGTAAGTCGCTATTCAATTTGAATATACTCTAACTGGCTATCACTACATGCCAAAATGACCAAAATGAGACTATTGTACTTTGGGCATATTACAGTTGACTGGAAAAGGTGAGAATTCCTGGTAAAGCTGAAGATAGTAGGAAAAGAAGGAGACCTAATTGCAGCCAAATTGTTTTAATGCATGAAGCAATGGCCCTGTACTTGGAGGTCTCTGTTAAGAAGATCACTGTAAGTTGGAAACTGACCGGACAATAAAACTCTATGTACTGATCAGGGATAGTTGGGGCTAAGAAAACTCCAGTAGAAAATCATGCTGATCTGACAGCAAGTATTTTTTGATATCCAGGCTTTAGTCCACACATTAAAGGTAACTATCCAAGGTGCTGAACTAAGCTTCACACCTTGGATATCTTCTTCGGCCCAGAAAACACACAGCAACCCAAACAAGCAAACAGGAATTCATCTAAAGCCAAATAATGTTTGTGGATCATTATATTCCAGCTTTCAAATTATTCTTGAACAATTTCCTTCAAACTGGAAATAATCCTCCCTCCACTTTTCTGGGTCTTTATAGACTCATTCACATGTGCTTTTCTAGTAAGCAAAAAGAAGACTGCTGTAGTCAAATATATAGACTGGGGCAATAAATACTTGCCTTCCCAGATTATGGTAGACTACAACTCCCATCAGCATTGCCAGTGCTTGGATCGTTTGTCCAACAATATTTGGAGGGCCAACCTTTTGATTGATTTACATTTTTAAAATGTGTTCTTAAACATGAACTCAAGCTTGATCAGTTTAAAATGAAACCCCTTTCCAAGCGCTTTTCTCCCATGCTTCCCACCAATAATTTATTTATTTATTTATTTATTTATTTATTATTTAAACTTATATGCCGCCACTCCCCTGGGGCTCGGAGCGGCTTACAAGAATGGCTAAAATCTAACAAAATTTAAAAGCAATTTAAACAATTTAAAAACAACACTATCAAACATTAAAAGCCTGTCGAAACAGGTATGTCTTACATGCCCTGCGGAAAGCTGGTAAGTCCCGCAAGGCACGGACTTCAGGTGGCAGAGTATTCCAGAGTGATCGTGCCAATGCTGTGAAGGCTCTGCGTCTGGTTGCTGTTAGACGCAAGGTCTTGACACTGGGGACCTCCAATAGATCTTGGTCCTCAGAACGGAGGGATCTCTGGGGTTGGTAGGGGGTGAGGCGGTCCCTCAGATACATCGGCCCCAGACCATGCAAGGCCTTAAAGGTGAGTACCATCACTTTGAAAGTGATCCGGTGCTCAATTGGTAACCAATGCAGCTGTAGTAAGATTGGTGTTATGTGGCATCTCATCGGAATTCCCGCAAGAAGCCGAGCAGCTGCGTTTTGTACCAACTTGAGCTTCCGAATCACCAACTGAGGGAGGCCAATGTAGAGGGCGTTACAGTAGTCCAGTCTTGAGATGACCGTGGCCTGGATCACCGTAGCTAGGTCGTCCCTGGACAGGTAGGGGGCCAGCCGTCTAGCCTGCCGCAGGTGAAAGAAGGCGGTTCTGCTCATGGCGGAGACCTGGGCCTCCATTGTCAGCAGAGGGTCCAAAAGGACTCCCAGACTCTTTACCAATGATGACGGGCGTAACGCCTCGCCATCCAGGGTGGGCAGATGGATGTCCCCACTGCCCGGTCCACCCAGCCATAGGATCTCCGTCTTTGCTGGATTCACCCTCAACCTGCTGGCACGCAGCCATCCAGTCACGGCCTCGAGGCACTGATGGAAACAATCGGGTGCAGAGTCCGGTCGGCCTTCCATCTTCAGCACCAGCTGAGTGTCATCGGCGTAGTGATAACACTC